AGGTGGTGCCGGTGGCACGGTGCTGTGGACAGTGCAGGGAGGAGGCTGGGGCTGGTGGCAGGAGAGGATGGTGCAGGGCTGAGGCAGGTTTGCCCTGTGGGGTGGCAGTGGGTGGCAGCACGTGGGACAGGAGTGTGGGAGCCACGGTGGGACATGCGCGGTGGCCAGAGCCCCGGCTGCCCCCCCATGCTAAACTGCACTCCACGTCCCAGCTGAGCAATAAAACCAGCTGGTGCACGCTCATGTCCGCCTCGCCTTTCCTTTGGCTTCAGCGGCACCCAAGGCCGGGAATCACCTGGTTGGGTGAGGCGTGGCTGAGGGAGCCCCACTGGGACAAAGAGGGGGCTGGGGCCAGTTCCCAGTTTCTCGTTCTGGAGCTCGGGGTGGGGATGGAGCCCTAGGGTGGGGGTCACCCCTTGGGATGGGGGACAGCCCACACATACCCTGCGTCCCCTCGCCACCCCCGCTACCGTGGGTCTGTGCCAGCGAGCAAGGGAGGGCGGTGGCCGGGTCCGCAGCGAGGCAGCGCTGGTCCCTCCCGAGCCCAAACACTCCCGTCATGTGGTTTCCGTACCCCCTGGACTCATTTCCAAAAAAGCATTTCCTCCTGCTGTGGTTGGGCGTAAAAGCCTGTCTGGGGAGGGCTGGCGCTCACTCACCACGCGTCGCGTGCTGCTGACGGCAGACGTGGGGTGCCGGGGCACCCTGCCCGGGCACTGAGCTGCCCCGACACCCCACTGCACCTGCTGCCCCGCTCCCCTCACCGCCCCGGCATGACCCAGCCGCATCGGCCACAAGGATGAAGTGTTGCTGCCCTGGGGTGGCTTGGGTGAGTGCGGTGGCGTGGGGGTCCCACGGAGCCCTGGCACCAGTTGTGAGGTGTCCCATGGCTGTGGCCGTAACGGGTCTGGAGGAGGGAGGGAGGAAGATGGGTTAACTCCAGTGAAGAGCACGCCAAACCCGCTTACCCCTCTGGCTAACAGCTGGGGCTGGGCTCTGCTGCACCAAAACATTCACGGTGTGGCGTGAGCACAGGCAGGATGCGGCCGCGGGAAGCGTGGGGTCAGTCATGGGGCTACAGGCAGGGCAGTGCCACGGGGTGTGGCTGTGCCGACAGCCTGCGGGGCTGCCTTCGGGGCTAGCTGGGCACGCGGGTGGCGGCCCCGGCGTTACGGGCGGCAGAGGCGCTTGCACGGCACAAGCGGGGGTGGCTCTCTCCACCGCGCAGCCAGCCCCGTGCCCACGGCTCCGCTGTCCACCGGGCACCTGCTCCCGGCGCTGGGCCGGGGCAGCTGCCCGTCTGCAGGCGGGGTGCGCGGGCAGGGAGGGCCCCGCTGCCCCACAGCCGTGCCTCAGCGGTGACTCAGATGTGCCGCTGGCAGCCGGGACTGAGGCAGCCGCCCGGATCTGCCGGCAGCGCTCTGCGAGCGGGACGGCCCAGCGCGGTTTCCAGTCTGCCGGTGGCGGCGGGTTTAGTAGAAAATGATTCAACTGCCGTAATCGGGGCCATCACGGCTGGGAAATCCAACCCCCAGCGAGGAATCCCCTGGCTCCCTGCCCACACTGTCTGTACCGCGGCCCTCTCAGGCCCCAGCCCGGCCAGTGGAAGGGGTGTCAGCGTGGGCACTGTTCGTTGCACCCACCGAGGCTTCCAGAAGAGCGGGGCTGCCCTGCGGACGGCACCTGGCACCCTGCGGGGGAACAGTGACCTACTTTGGGACGCGCGTAACGAGGCGCGATAGCATCGGAGAGAGCGTGAGCCAGGCACGGCTTCCTTTCGGGGAGGAAATCACCTCCTCTGTGAGGGAGATAAACCCCAGGAAAATCAAAGCGGGCAGCGTTAACCCCTACGCGCCCGGCTACCGACACCTCCCTGAGCTAGCGATCTGTGGCACCACCGGCAGTCCGTGTGCCTGACTCACTCGTCCCCATCCCTGGGGACATGGCAGGGGTCCTGTTGGCACAGGCGGTCGAGCGTCTCGGTGCCGATCCCCAGGCAGCCTGGAGGCACCATTTGCAGAGCACACGAGGGCACCTGACAGCCCTGGGCACAGGCTGCGGCACAGCGGCCCCCACAGTGCCAGCAGGAAGTTGCTTGCTCTTGTACTGCGGGGAAAGCAGAGCCCAGGGGCTGCCGCGGGGCATTCCCGGCCGTGGGGCAGCGCACCCACGCGGTTTGGAACAGAGGGCCGCGGCTCCAGCCGTTCTGCCCTGTGCAGGCACTGGTGTCCACACAGTTCCAGGTACGGCTCTGGCTTCAGTCGAGCATGAGCTGGTGTGAGGGCCGTCCCTACGGGTGCACGGCTCCTGGAGCAGCGCGGCTGCCTGCAGCCCTGCTCTCTCCCTGCTTGCAGGTAACCTTGGCAGCGCTGTGGCTGGCGGCCAGCGAATCGCAGCCCCCAGGGCGGCGGGACCGCGCCGTGCCGGGAAGGCAGCGGGTCCTGGTGCAGCCACTCCTCCGCCTGCGGAGACATGTCACCAGACTCCAGTGCCCCGCCGGCACGACCTGGATCGGGACTGCTCACCAGTGCTGCGAGCCGTGCCCCGCAGGTGAGCACTGCTCGGTCCGTGTGCCATGGCACAGCAGGTGCATTGCTGCCGGTGGCCGTACTCCCTTGTCACCCCACTGTCCCTGCAGGGACATTCCTGCACGAGGCCTGCACAAGCCCTGAGAATAAAAGCGACTGCCGCCCCTGCCCTGACGGCACCTTTCGCACCCAGCCCAACATCCTCAAGGAGTGCCAGGCTTGCTACGAGTGTGACCGACAAGGTGAGCTGGCGGCACGCCACACCGTGCTGTGCTTTGCAGCACGGTGCCATGCTGCTCACCACCTGCTTTCTGCAGCTTTCCAGAGTGTGCTGAGCAACTGCTCGGCCACCAGCAACGTCGCCTGTGGCTGTGAGCCCGGCCGCTTCCGTGTCTGCTTTGACAAGCAGTGCAGCGAATTCTCTTGCCGGAAATGCCAGCCCTGCACCGGACGCCTCATCCAGCGACCCTGTGAGTGCTAACAGCTGCCCCACGGCACAACCTGCCAGCTGTGCCACCTCTGGCTGTGCCACCCTGCCTCACGCCCACCCTCTCCCCAGGCTCGGAGGCACAGGACACACTTTGCGACAGCAGCTGCAAGCCTGACTTCTACAGAGAGGGTGATGAGTGCCGGCCATGCCACACGTAAGCATTGACCGTCCAGCCAGGAACGCATGTGGGGCCCATGGCATGGCACAGCATGGCACCCATGGGTCCCATCTCCTTGCAGGAGCACCCTCGACAAGTGTGGCAAAGAGTGCCAGCAAGTGTGCGGCAGCAACAGCGACCAAGGTATGGGGACAATGGGGCCAGGGCTGGTGGTGTACAGTCACCGTGCTGGTCAGCTGATGGGAATGCTCCTGCTCCTCCTTTCAGGCTCAGGTCTGGAGTACATCCTGCTGGGACTCACCGGGCCTCTCTTCCTGGGTGCCCTTGCCATCTACCACAAGAGGAAGAGGCTCTGGCATGGTGCCCTGGCAGGTGGTCCCCTCCCCATGGCACAGGCTGGGGTTGCAGCCACACCATGGTGCCAGTTTAACGCCCGGAGGTGGGACAACTTCTGCTGGACCCAGCCATACTCCCCACCAGGGACAGAGCGTGTCACTGACACAGCAAACCAGAGGCTCAAACACCAGGCCTCATGGCGTGAGCAGCCTAGTGATGAAGGGGAGCCCTCTGCACCCCCAGAGCCCCGTGGTGCCCTGCTGCAGGGCAGCCAGCTCTATGCCATCATTGACGTGGTGCCAGTACGGCGCTGGAAGGAGTTCATGCGGATGCTGGAGCTGCGGGAAGCAGAGATTGAGCTGGTAGAGCTGGAGGTGGCCCACATCCGTGACCAGCAGTATGAGATGCTGAAGCGCTGGTGCCAGCAGACCAGTGCAACACTGGACCATGTCTTTGCTGCCCTGGAGCGCATGGAGCTGGCTGGCTGTGCTGAGACACTGCGCCAGAGTCTGCCCATGGGACCCTGATCCCCACCATCAGCACCCTGGCACAGGGAGGTCCCACCACCTCCACATCTCACTGGGCACCTCATCCCAGCCATACCCCTAAGTATTGTTACTTATGCCGTGTAGACATTTTATGTCAGTTTTATGTCCCCTTCTCACCTGCCTGTCCCCTCTATTTATGGCCCCCTGCTCCCAGGGCCGGGGAGGACCCCATGCCCCAGCACATCGGCTGCCCAGCCACTCGCGGGACGAGCAGGCACCGAGCCCACCGCGAACCCATGGGATAGTTCTCAAGGCTGCCCACTGCCGGGCACTCCTTCCCCCTCCCCAATAAAGTGGTGTGTTCTCCAGCCGCCCACCCTGGCCCTTCTTCGCAAGGCTGTGTCAGCCAGGCACCAGGGCACTACTGGCCTCTGGGCCACCACTGGTGATGTGGTCACCACAAGTGACAGGGAATGCGGGTGCTGGCAGAGATGCAGGAAGTGTGGGTGTTGGGGTGATTGTGATGGTGTTGGTGAGGGGGCCACCGCTGTCGGCGAGGATGGTGTGGGTGGGTTTGGCGTGGACAGCCCCAGGAAGGCTCGGGGCACTGCTGGCGGGGTTTATCGTTTTAATCGCTGGAAAGGCAGGCGGTCTGGGCAGAGGTGAGCCGGAAGTTGGCCTTGAGCGGCTCTGGAGGGGCAGGAGTGAGGGCGAGCGCTCTGCAAGGGCGAGTGGTGCCAGCGGGGCGTGCGGCGAGCCCGGCCGCAGCGGCCGAGCCGGGCAGAGCGCACGGAGCCGCGTGTCCCTGGCCGCGGCAGCTCGCTTTGCAACGGGCAGCACAGGGTGGCGGTGGGCTGGCGGCAACGGGATGTGAGGGTGGAGGAGGCTACGGGGGCCTGGGGCGGTGGGGGGGGGGGCTTCTCTGGGTTGGGCTATGTGGCCGTCCACGGCAGGAGGAGGGTGCCGAAGCATATTGCGGTCCATGGGAGGACCTGCCAGCCTCCTCCTGCTGCGAAGAGCCAGGATGTGGTGTGGCGTGGCTAGTGCTTGGCTATGTCCCCCTTCTTGAGGATGATCTGTCGCTGCCAGGGCGCCAGCTTTGTCTCATCGTACCCGAGAGTCCTTAGCTTTTCCGACTGCTCCTTCTCCTTCTCCTCCTCCTCCCGCTTCAGCTTCTCCTGCTCTTTCCTGCTTAGCAGCAGAGGGCACAGGGCGCCGCGGTCACCAGAGCCGCGGGAGCCGCCGTGCCCGCCCACCCAGGGAAGGGGCTTGCGGCACTCACCGTTTCTGCTCCCTGCGAAGGCAAAGGGAAGAGCGGGGGTAGCAGAGCCGCG